CTCTATACACTGAGCCAAACCGGTTTCGGCCATTCTATATCTTTTTAAAAATATATATTTTTACTGGAGTCGAACCTGGGATGCTTCAGTTTGCAGTCCAACACTCTATCCACTGAGCCAAACCAACCAGGGCCATTCTATATCTTGGTGAATGGAAAGCTATTTGGAACTTTTCTAGGCAAAGCCAATAATACCTTTTGCAAATGTAGACATTGTTTCCAGCTTTGCAATGGAAGGGCAAAGTAGGAAAAACAAACAGAAAGCTGAACAGAACGAAAGGCTCATCAAATGAGGAAGAAGAACTGAAGAAATAAACATGAGTGTGTTAAAGCCAATGACTAATTTGTGTTCACTAAAGGCAAAATTTTCCATGTCCTTCACCCACTCCTCTGTCATCTTCTGAATTGATACTAGGGAATAATTTAATTGGTAAATTTAAATAACATAGAGTAGAGAAATGCAGAATAAAAATAGAAAATCAAAATGAAGGAATGTAGAAAAGCCACAGAAGTGGGGAAAAAGTGAAGTCAAATAACTGGAAAGAAGAACTGGAAAATAGTCTGCCAGAAGACATATAAAAACAGAACCCTTTTGAGAGGACATTCAATTAAAACCAGAAGGATTTTTTTTTGTAGGTTTACTTTAAAAAGTTTATTGGAACCCTTTGCTTTAAACTGAGTAGCATTAATATACAGGATAAAATACTTGCAACCTATAGGAGGAAAACCACAGAAAGGTTTAAAAAAATCAGGTATCTCATATTTATTTTTAGATTCACTAATTAACTAACTACAAAAGGACGTATTCCTCAGTTAAGCTGGTGTATAATTATGGTATCTGAGTACAAAGAATTTGTCTTGAAAGCTAAATTAGAATGTAGGAGGCAAAACCGGAGATTTTTCAGGTACTCTTTTTTAAAACTACAAACTTCTGAAAGTATTATTCTCCAATAAATCGTTGAGAAGCTACCAATAATGAAGCACTCTGATTGGTGCCATGGGGTCTGTGGCTGTTTCCCTGAGTGGCAGAGTGGTCCCTGAAAAAACACATTTGAAGAAAATCTCAGTATATAGTAGGTGAATATTTGTGGAATGAATGGATCTGTTGCCTTCTGGAAATGCCCCTGAACAAGAGTCGATTTATATATTCTCCTACTTTTGTACTTGGCAGTTTTCACACAGTGTTTATTTGAAAACAAACCCAGATTATATCCCAGGTCACTTTTCATTTTTGTTAATTCTCACCTGAGGATATTTTTCCATTGATAAGGTTTAGACTTGCAGCGGTTCTCAACCTGTGGGTCGCGACCCCTGCAGATTACATTACGATTCATAACAGTAGCAAAATTACAGTTATGGGGTCGCAACGAAAATAATTTTATAGTTGGGGGTCACTACAACATGAAGAACTGTATTAAAGTGTTGTGGCATTAGGAAGGTTGAGAACCACTGTGAGGGGGTGGAAGGGACGGGGAGAGACAGAAACATCGATGTGAGAGAGACACATCCATTGGTTGCCTCCCGCACGCACCCCGACCAGGGTTGGGGCTCAAGCCTGCAACCCAGGTACATGCCCTTGACCAGAATCAAACCCCATACCCTTCAGTCCACAGGCTAATGCTCTATCCACTGAACCAAACCTGCTAGGACCCAGGTCACTTTTAATACTAGGGGCAGATTTGTGTTAAGGAGAAAAACTGCTTTTAAGGTGGCCTCTTGGAATAAATGTTCTTTTGCTATTCTTATTAAATTATTTTCTTAAATTTGCTATTTCAGCGGATAAAAATTTAACTAGAGGTTGCAGGATTATTTAATTTTCTCTTCTCGACCTGTAACTGCTACCATGGCACCATTTATTCCATCTATTAGATTGTAAATCATGGAAAATTTTTCATCTCTGAATAGGGCGAGACAATGCGTGTGAAAAAACGTCATACATGTTTCTACGGAAGGAGCTTCCTGTGCGCCTGGCTAACACCATGAGAGAAGTTAATCTTCTGCCGGATAATTTGCTTAACCGCCCTTCAGTGGGATTGGTCCAGAGTTGGTAAGTAAATAATGTGCCTTCAAATGGGTCTTCCCATGATGCTCTGAACAGTTGGCATTGGGACCATTCTCCCTAAAAGTGCACGCAGCGCCTGTGTAGGAGTGAGTCACTTGGGATAGCCGAGTTTTCCAGGCAAATTAGGATTTTTTTTAAACTGACAGTTTAAAATTGCCTTAATGAAAATACTTTTAAACTGTACAAGACACCTTTCAAATTTTGTTTTTCTGCTTAGAAATGGTGATGGCTTATTTAAAAAATGGGAGAGTACAGAAAAGTACAGAGGAATAGCAATGCAGTTACCAATGTTCGCAGGTCTGCAATCCTTTAGATGGGGATATTGCTTCCATCAAGTCTCAGCCTTACTCCTTTTGTTTTCCTTTTTTAAAAAAAAAATATATTTTATTGATTTTTTACAGAGAAGAAGGGAGAGGGATAGAGAGTTAGGAACATCCATCAGCTGCCTCCTGCACACCCCCCACTGGGGATGTACCCACAACCAAGGTACATGCCCTTGACCAGAATCGAACCTGGGACCCTTCAGTCTGCAGGCCAATGCTCTAGCCACTGAGCCAAACTGGTCAGGGCTTGTTTTCCTTTTAAAGAAGTTCCTTGAAGGCAGTACTTCTTTTAGAACACATTAAGTTATGGAAAGGGACCTTGGATTGGAAAAATATCACTACTTGCTATGCTGCATTTGCCCTGTGAATAGTATGAAAAATTGTAATAAGTATCACTCAAAGCTCAATCAGATACAGCTCTGAGCTTAAAACGTGTTATTTAATTGAGGAAGTTGAATTTGTGAGTAAACCACTGACTAGGTCAGCAGGGTGAGGTTAGTGAGTGGTAGGATGAAGAAGAGTGGGTGCATTTTTAGAAAAGGATTTGCATACATTTGAGAAACACAGGCAGGTCTCCTCTCGATTATAAAAGCGAGGTAGAAGTCACTGGAGAAGGCTGGGGGAGAAAGGGAGGCCAGGTGCAAAAAGTGCTCTCAGGCAGGGACAGAGGAAGTGCTGTGGGACAAGTGGTTTTGTACTGCCCCTTGATGGGGGGCTGGAAATGACAGGGACAGGGAAAGCATTTTAGGGGAAGGGAATGATGTGGACAGACACAAGGAGAACAGAACTATTAACTTGCATTGAGAGGATCCGTGGAGGCCAGGCTACTGAAAGAGAATGGCCATTTAGTAGTCATTCCTCAGTGATGCAGGGGTAAGCAAAAGTAGGTTTACAGTTGTTCCTATGGAAAATAATATAATACAAAATAAAGAATAATACAAGAATAAACTCTGTGTTTCACTTACTCACAACTATCAACCTACTTTGGCCCACCCTCTATTAACTGTAATACATTCTTAGGGCTGAGAATAGAGAAACACTCTATTGGGAGGTCTAGGAGATCCACTGTCCAGTCCCTCTCCCAGACAAACAGCAGCTCTTCCCTGTGGGAGGCACAGGGGCCCTGGAACCCAGGAGAGATGGCGACCATGGCTTTGATCTCATAGTCAGTTGCTTTCTACACTAAATGCATAGCTTGTTTCGGCAGCAAGTTTGCATGAGACTTCTTTATTGCTCAAGGCCATCATTAGAGATTTCCAAAAGCAAGTATATAAGCACTATTGGGGGCTACTGTGGTGGGGGTTCTAGGCAGGCTAGATGACTTTCAAGTCCCTTGGTCTTGGTGGCAGTGACAGTTAAATATTTATTATCACTTATTTAAAAAGTACTTCAGGAGCTTCAAAGTGAATTATTGGCAAAGTATAGACTCAAATTACTGTGCCAACTCTTTGTGTCTCCTCACCATTCTTTTCCATGGCCGTTCCAAACACACACACACATCATTTCCTCCTTTTCTTTTCTTAAACATTCAATTTTGAAATAATTTCCTACTTAACAGAAGGGTTTGCAAGACTAGTAGCAAGAATTCCCATTACAAACCTTTACCCAGATTCACTAATTGCTAACATTTGACATTTGTTCTACCATTCTCATTCATATTCTCTCTCTGTATATATAATACAATATGTATGTGTATATATATATATATATATATATATGTGCATATATATATATTCAAACGTGTGTGTGTGTGTGTGTGTGTGTGTATGGCATAACGCACACACATATATAATATACACACATGTTATTTTTTTCCTGAAACATTGCATTAATGCTAGACATCATGACCCTTTACCCCTAAATAGTTTAGTAAGTATCTACTTAGAACAAATCTTAGAAAACCACTGCATGTTAAATTTGGGGATTTAGCACTGATCCAGTAATATTTTCTAATATGTAGAACTTCTTCTTATTTCATCAATTGTCCTAATAGTGTTCTTTTTTTATAGAACACCCTACCCCCAATTTAGGGATCCAGTGCAGGATTGTGCATTGTGTTTAGTTGTTATTTCTTTTCCCTCTTAAGAGTGGCCTTTGCAGGGTGGTTTGACCTGATGATTTTAGCACTATCTAATCCATAGCTTTATCCACCCAGAGACTTAAAAAATATACCCAGAGATGAACATATACTATGCATTGTCACAAAGGTCAAGTGAGGCTGATTAATAAAATATAATTTATATCTATTTATGTGCTTAATGGTCACTTTTAGTTGCTTAAATAGCCTCATCCTCTATCAGAGCTGGCTAGTAGGATTAGTGTCATTAATTGTTAGACATAATTAGAATAAGAGATACTTCTTTCAGGATATGTTAAGACCCAAAGCAGAGATCACACACCTCTGAGTAATTGAAATCTCTGCATCCCCACCGGATCCAGCAGGTCCTGTGTGAATGTAGCTGCTACAGTAAAGTGCCTCCCTGGGTCCCACTTTTCTGTGTTCTCTAGATCTTTATGTTGGACACATTATTTCTTATACTGGCCTTGATTGAGATAAGGAGCTATTCTTTAAAAAATATATTTTTAAATTGATTTCAGAGAGGAAGGGAGAGGGAGAAACAGCTAGAAACTGATTTCAGAGAGGAAAGGAGAGATAGAAACATCATTGATGAGAGAGAATCATTGATTGGCTGCCTCCTGCACACCCCACACAGGGGATTGAGCCCTCAACCCCCCAGGCATGTGCCCTGACCGGAACAGAACCGTGAGTTCCTGGTTCATAGTTCGATGCTCAACCACTGAGCCACTCTGGCCAGGCAGATAGGGAGGAGCTCTTCTTAATTCTGAAGCTGTTTCTGAGTGTTTAAGAGAATTTAACTCTGAGAAGGAACCTTCATTATTTCTGGTTTCTAAGTTCTTAGCGCACAATTCAGTGTCACACATGTCCTTCTTACAATTTATGTGCACTTTTTTGGATAATTAAACTCTAGGTTTGGTGTGTCAGTTAGGGTATGTTTGTAAGAAATCCAACTAAACCTGGCTGAAACAATTACAATTGGCTCGTTTGTCACTATAAGATGCAGCCATACGATGTGCTTTTGGTGTTGCTTTGATTCAGAGATTTCATGAGCTTCTCAAGGTTCTGCTTTCCATGGTGTTGGCTTCACCTTCAGGCTGGATTTCCTCCTGGTGACAGAATAGCTGCAACAGTCCCAGTCTTCGCATCCACACAGCCAACTACAACAGCAGAGCAAGTTGATTTCTCTCCCAGAGACCTCCATTAAGTCTTTCTTATGTCACTGTTCTGCACTGAGACCGAATGCCCATTCCTCAGCCAATCCCGGTGCCCAAGGATATGTGACGCAGTAACAGGCTTAGACCTGGACTACCAGACTAATTAGGAATGAGTGACAAGAGAAATAGAATTGTCCAGAGAAAAGTCAGGCCCCCCAGGAGCTATGCGTGGCATCGGCTTTTCCAGAAGCACTTGAACTGCTTGGGGGAGGGGAGGGGATGTTACTTGAGTAAAAATGGGGGGTACTCTATGGAAGAGGGAAAGGAGAAATGGATGTTGGGTAGACAGCTAACGCAGTAGGTCTTCTTTTTTCAGGTATATGCAGAGCTTCCTTGAACTTTTGGAGTATGAAAATAAGAGCCCTGAGGATCCAAAGGTCTTAGATAAGTAAGTATGGTACCAAGCTCATCTAAAAGTCAAAAGATCCAGGTAAAAAGTGGTTTGGTGAATGGAGCTCATGTCAATGAGAATCAAGAAGTATAATTTGGATGGAAGCATTAGGTTTCTTAGTGGGGAATGACTCAACATTGCCTTTTTTAATTTAAAAATTGAGTTACAAATGTAACAGTACAAAATAAATAATGACACATTATGGTTCATGATCTAATTTTTAAAAAAAAATTTAATTAACTATATTGGGGTGACATTGTTTAACTAAAATATCAGCTTCAAGTGTACAATTCTATAATACAGCACCTGTATATTCCATTGTGTGTTCATTACCCACACCGTGTATTTGCTCTTCTTTACTCTTTACTACCAGTTTCTTTCTTGCAACCACCATACTGTTTGTTTTCTGTGTCTAGGAGTTTTTTTTTTTTTCATTTGTCTTGTTTGTTCATGTTGCTTTCAGTTTTATATCCCACATTAGAGTGAAAGCATAGGGTACTTGACATCTTCCATCTGACTTATTTTGCTTAACATGATATGATCTAATTCTTAATACTTTTGTGCTTATGGGGAACTGGTGTTGGCCCTCACTCTAAATGTTGCAGTAAATGTTCCACCTAGTGGTCATTTGAAGAATGCAGTGGTCTCTTTATATGCATGAATCTACACAGTCCTTTACAGTATTTTTAAGAAATATTTATTTAGACTTACAAATTCTTTACTTTTGCAGTTTCAAACAATCCAGATGCATATTGCATACAGCTAACTAACTAGGTTATTTGTGACAGTGATACAATTTTTTCTTTTTATTATATTATGATACATCTTAAAATCTTCATGTAGTCTATTTAAAATTACTAATCCTGACCATTGATGAAGTTCTTGCATTATATAGGGTGTCCCCCCAAAATGTATACATACTTTGAATGGTTATAAAGTTAGTATTTATTAACATACAGTTCATTTTAAAATTTAAAAGATTCTACAGAAATGAATAATTTTTTTTATCAATGCCTTTTTTCAAACTGATGACCGTTCTGGTCCAGGCACTGCTGATAATGTAAAGCAGTGGAATGGCAAACAAAAAATCATTTTGTTTGGTATTTGTGCGCCTTTAATTAGTCAACTCTTGCCAGTTTTGTACCGTAAACTTTTATCTTTTATGTGTTTCCATAAAAAAGTCCAGCAGATAAATTTTCTTTGTTCAAAGCTTAGTCTAGCTTCACCCACTATATCAAATCAGTTAAACCTGAAATGGAGTGAAAATTAAGTGAGTTATCAGCTGTTAAAGTGTGTATATATTTTTTGGGATACCCCCAAAAATGTATATACACTTTGAATAATTATAAAGGCAATGTTTGTACTTCAACTGCATTTTCAAACTTCCAGTAGCATTTTAGGATGAATTTCCTTTGTTCAAAACTTAGTCTGGCTGAAAAGAAAGCAACATCAGTTGAGCTATCAGCTGTTAAAGTGTGTATACATGTTTTGGACATGCTGTATATTGTTACCTTAAATCTGAGTTGGTGACATTTTACAAAGACACTTACTTAAGATATTAATTGCATCATTCATTGAACTGTGTTTTACATTAAAATTACTTCTTCCTGGTTATATAATTATCACAGCCAGTTCAATCACAAACTGTAGTCTGCTTTATTACATATAGATTAAGTGGTTTAATAGTGTGATGCAAAAGGGATGTTTGAAATTATCCACTAAAAGCATTTAAAACTTTTTGCGTGACACTGAAACATATTAATGCTTGAATTATCCTTTGCGAAAATATTTTCCCATATGGCAGTCTAAACTCTGTCATCGCACCCCTGGGTCCACCAGTACTGTGGCAGTTGACTATTCTTTATAAATCTGTCTTATAGTCTTCTAAATCTGTACTCTTGCTTGCTCTTCCTTGTTCATCTATTTGGCCACTTGAGGAAGGACCAGTGAAAAGCTGAAATCTTTTCTTCTAAGCTCAGCACCAAGACAAGCATGTCCCCTCTTGCCCCTTCTGTTCAGCATAAGTACAGGAAGTCCTTCATATATTTCTCTGTTGCCTTCTGATTGATTGGCGAGAGCTCTCCGAGTTCTTGATTTGCTCAATGCCCATTTCTTCCACGGTACCAATAAGCTATTACACAATCTTTTCAGTCTTTAAAGAAAATGTTCAATGTGTTGCTACATTTGAATGCAGAAAACCAATAATGGTTTTATTTTGGAGAAACAGAAAAGAGTGTCCTTTTTATATGACAACTTTGATTCTATTGCTGCTATTATGCACAAAGACCACTAAATTCTCATGCTGATGGGAAATATTTGTTTTTCATGTTCATTTAACCAGAAAACACGAACCC